AGCAGAGGCGCGGTCACAAGAAGCGGGCAGGTGTCTCCCGTATCACGCACCTGATCGTGATTGTCACGTGCCTGCCACAATCCCTGTAATGCTGGTGCCTGCATGCGAGCCTGCAAGTGCTGCACGAACTCAGCCGCATCATGCTGAGTTCGAGGGTTCCTCCACGTAGCGAGGAGTTGTTGCCAGCTGAGCAGATCCCACAATGCAAATGGCCGTCGGCTAAGGATTCCAGCCTCAACAGCGGTGAACACATTCCTCGGAATCACTGTTTGGGAGCAGGTGCGGCTACACCAAAGCAGCGCTGAGAGAGTCGCGTTGGCGTAACAAAGATTGGCACCATTGGTGAGCCGCATTTTCAGCTGAAGTGCATCGTCTACCTTACTGCTTAACCGTAAGTTGGCACAGGGATCCCGAGCATGCGACAAAGTAGAGCTCTCTGATGAGGTCTGCGCTGGGACGGCAGCCACTTGAAGATCTGCTGAGCCAGAGGGGATCTTGTCAATCGTTCGGGTTTGATTGCCATGCCGATTACTTGGCAGCAAGCACTGCCGCAGAGTTCCGTCAACGATGCGTGCAGTTGGTCGCTTGGTGTGGAGCGGTTTGACACTGAAGCCAGGAATGTGATCGAGGGACCTTTGAGCTCCGCTGCAAGGGGCCGCGTCGGCGTGAACTTTGTGAGCAGCTGGGAATCCTTGGCCAAGCGGATCACCCCCTCGACCAGATTGATCGCCGCCTCCTTTGTCAGTGGCGTTTTGCTGGTGTCCGGAATCAACTTGGCTTGTTCGGAGTCCCAGCGAAGGTAGTTCCAGGTCCCGGCGCTGCTGATGTAGCCAAGCTGCTTCATGTTGTTCTGGATCTCCTCGGTCAAGCGGGCTGGCTGCAGGCGCTGAAGAAATTCTCGCCATACACACATCCATAGAGTGAGCCGCATCGGTGAAGTGGGCGGGTTGATTTCGCGGTCGGCCTTCCATTTCGTTGCCACCTCGAACAGAGCCTCGGGGACTCCGCATGGCAGGCCTGTACGCATCCATATGACAAAGCTGGTATCCAATTGCAGTGTTTTCAAGGCATCTTCGTGCCGTACCGCCAGCCGTATCATCAAGTGGCAGAGGGTGCGCAGCTCCGCTATCTCCTCGTCCTTGTTCGTGTTGTCGTGGCTGGCTGCATTGCTTTTGGCGCCTCCTTTTCCCCCTTTCTTTCCCTTTCCCTTTCCCTTGCCCTTTCCCGGCTTGGGGTCCGTCTTCTGAAATTTGCTCGGGGTCTCGGATTCGAGTGGTCTCTTGGTCGATGCTGGTGCTGATTGCAGAACCTGGCCCATGAACGCCGTGTACACTTCCCATTCTCGCTCCTCCTCTTGTTCGGCCGTCAGCTTCTTGTCCACGTCCATCGTCATGGCAATGAGGGGGGAGTAGTGCAGGATCCAAGCTAGCGAAGATGGATTGCCAAATGACAGTGCAACCTTCAGCATGCCTACATGGTGCACAGCGATATGTTTGCGAGCAGTACTGACACGGGTTTTGTACCGACACAGCCTTAGCCTCCTTGACGGCTTGATTGAGGCGGTCAATAATGTCCGGGTGCTTGCAGCGCATGTGCACTTTGATCCGACTACCGTCATTCGCCCACAAATTGCACACCGGGCATTTATGCGCCATGCGGGCGTGAAGCTCAGCCTTGGAGGCAATGTACTGCCATCGTCTAAGGGTCGTGTGCGCCTCATCCCTCAGACAGGGCTCGTCCAGAAGCCTCGCAGCAAATGGCACAGGGTTAGTGTGTGCATTCGTGATGGCATCGGTATTGGGGTCCCCGCCGGCAGACAGCGCCGTGACGGGTTCAGCAGATGGAGCCTCTTCCCGGTCCGAAGACCCCAGCAGAAGAGGTGTGACGGCTTGTTGCCGCTTTGGCACACAACTATCAAATAGGATGTGCAAATTAAAATTTCTCCACCCATTAAACTCGCGAAGGCAGTATCTGCACGTTGGGACACCATCCAGGGAGTGTTCGACTTGATTCACAGCAGAGAGGGCCTGCTTGACATCACGATGTGCCTGTGTTCCATGCTCTCGGACACGGTGCCGCTGGAGCAGACCTGAGTTGGGAAAGATACATGGACAATCAGGGCAAGCGTATTGGCCGGCTACCATGCTGACCTCACGAAGGGAGGTTGAAGGTGCACTGCTGAGGTCGGGCATAGGAACCTCACCGTTGAGCATCGTCTGCGATCGATTTTGTCCGGTCTTGGACGCCTGAGAGAATGCTTGGGCCCCGCCGCGGGCGCCCCTGTTTGCAAAGTGGCTGCGACTAATAGCAGGCTGCGGCAGCCCTACCTGCGTCGAAGCAGCCTGAGGCGGCTGAGGTGCCACCGGCGTCCGAGCAAAGGATGCCTGAAGTATCACATGCCACTGCGCCACCCTGTCGATCTGGAGTGCCGGGTCCAGCGCCCGAAACCGTGCCAGATTGCCGGCGACCTCCTTGCCGAGTCGACCCTGGAAATCAAACTTTAAATCAGACAGAAAGGCCTCTGTGGGGACATGCGTGTCCTTCGACAGCTGGCTGCTGACAATACGAAGGTGTCGTGTCGCAATGCCCCGCACTTTGCATATTTCTTTGTCCTCAAGTTGCAAAGCAGTGAGCCCGTACTTAAGGCACGGCCAAACAATCGACAGCCACAAACGTTGCCGGGTGCGTCGGCTGAGGTTGTGTCTCGCAGTGAGTACCGGTCGAAGCCTGGAGAAGAGCTGGCCGGCTCGATGGTATCTATGCACAATGGTGTGGTGTTCCAGTGCACCGTAGCTGAGGATGATGCCAAGATAAGGATGTTTTCGGACAATCGGGAAGGCGCAGTCTGGCGCAACACGAAGTTTTGGGACACCTTTATCCTTGAAGCGCATTTTGCTCAGAAGTCGGTCGGCCTGGGTGCCGTGCAGCTGGTAGAGAATGACACTTTTGGTGTCGCTGACCTCCATTCCATGAAAGCGTAGAATCTGAACAAGCTTGTGCAGCTGGCCTAGGCAATCAGTGAGATCAGTGACCGTCCGAATCATCCATTGCGATATTAGATCGTCGGCATAAAAAGTGAGGATGCCTGCAGCATGTGAGCCCAGCCCCTCGAGTAACCGGCGATACACAAACCCCGAAGCAAGTGCCCAAAGGGCAGGTGATAAGGGGCAACCCTGCCGCACCCCCCGAGACGTAGCACACGTGGCCTTGAGACCGCAGTGCTCGATTTCGACAAGCAATTGAGAGTGAATCGCTAGGACTTGTTGCACAATGGGTTCGGGTATTTCAGCCTCACGCATGCTAGCAGCAATCACAGTTCTCGGAAGGGAATCGAAAGCACGGGCGACATCCAACGAGAACGTTATCCCACCCACACAGCCCGCCCGAGAAGTGGAGTCACGGCGGCGTTGAACCATTTTCTCACGTGTCGGTGCAGCCGCTCGGGCACTGTAGAAATGTGACACCACCCTATGCAATGCTTCAGTCGTTGATCTCCCCTGCACATAAGCAAATTGGGGAACTGTAGAAATGTAGTTCTGAAGGAAGGGGGTGATGAGCTGTGCCAACATGATTGCATGTACCTTGCTGGCCGGGTTCAACAAGCTTATCGGTCTGGTGTCCGAAGGCTGCTGTGACTTTTTGTTAGGTTTTGGCAACAAACAAAGCGCAATCTGTCTGATGGGCATGGGTAACGTGTTGGGAATGCTCGCAAAGGCAGCGTTGAGGCAATCACTCAGCAATGGGCCCACCTCCTTGGCCGCGAGTTTCCAAAGAACTCCTGGTGATGCCGAAGGATGCGCAGCTTTAAGGGCTGACAGGGAAGCCAGGGCTGAGGTGCACATGCCTGAGTCAAACAAGTGAGCGCTGCAGTCGAATACCTGCACAGGACCAGTCCTATCAGATGCAAACAGCTCCCGAAAGTACTTGAGAAGAGAGTCGCACTCGGCCTGTGGACCCTGAAGGTTCCCCTCTGAATCGCGAATTTGCAGTCGCACTCGAACCTTGCGCGGGGCAAGACGATTCACGATCCGGTAGACGGTGGACAGCTGCCCACACTGAACCGCCTGTTCCGCTTGGGCGGTTTGATCAAGAAGGAACGCCTTCTTGCGAGTACGTCTCTCAGTTGTGATGATGCGTTCAAGTGCCTGAATGCGGCGATCAAGCCTCCAGGCAGAGAAGGCCGCTCTCATACAGTACACAGGTGGGCCGTGGGCCAGGTTGGCCCGCTCGGCACGCAACTGCCACAATGCAGTCACAGCAGAGACATCGTTGACTCGTGGTAGTGCAGGCGCCGCCTCCGTTGAAGATGCGGTCGTTGCACTGCTTCGTGCCAGCTGGGGCTGACTGCTGAGCCACGCCTGAGTGAGACACCGATCGATTTGAGAGATGGTGGGGTTGCAAGGCATGGTTTGTCTGAGTTGCTCACAGAATGCATGCTGCCTGGCCGGGTCGTTCTTAGTTTCATCCCAAACTATCCTAGGCACAAGCCGGGTGCGTTTCGGGTGAGCGTGCTTCCAAGGGCACCACGTGAACGGAAATGAGCCCCGGACCGGAATGTGTCGGGAGCCCAGGCGGCTCGTGGCAACAGGCCAGTCATGGAATGGTCCACTGGCGAGGCTCGTGCCATCCGCATGCGCTCCACGAAGAATGATGTAATCTATCTGAGTCTGTGCATTTGTGGCAGGATTGACAAACGTGGCACCCGGAGCCTGTCCAAAAGTATTGGTCGCAACCAGCCCGAAGGAGCTCAACATGTGGAGCATCTCCTGACTATCTTGCTGTGGGGGCGCAGAGTAAGGAATACCACAGCCAACAACTCCTTTGCAGGCGGTAAACTGAGTGTTCAGGTCCCCTACCAGGCAGAGTAAATTACGGCGTGGGAGAGATCTGAGGGTGCTGCTCAGCTTATGCAGAAATTGAGAACGTCGGCGCATCGCATCCTGCCACCATGCAGTCTTGCTGTCCTGTTTACGGTGGTTCCATGCATATTGATAGGCGTGCAGCAGATCAATGGGCTGGTGTCCAGCGGTCGGTGTGATCCGTAGATGGTGCAGCCTACCTGGCACGATGGACCCGTGCCTAATGCAATCAGGTCCGGCAAGACGCTTTGAAATGCATGTCAGCAAGCCTGCCTCCTTGGAGGCACCGCTGCCGTGGTGCACAAAACACCAATCCCTGTCCTCCCACTGCATGTCCTCTCGCCAAAATGTTTCTTGAATGCAAAGAATGTCAAGGTGATCACGCTGCTTACTTAGCCAGGCCTTGACCTCGGCCCACACCAAAGTACTCAGGCCGCTGGCGTTCCACGTCATCAGCCGGCAGCGGCGCGATGACACATTGGAGGCTAAACTTTTAGGCCCATGTATTGCGCAATGCGCTGCTGCAGGGGAGATCCGTGCCGGCAAGCCGGACGTGGCGTCCACTCCCTTGTCCGTACGGCCGGGCTGTTGAGGGGCACGCTGTGCTTGCAGATGTTTGCCCTCAAAAATTGATCCACGATAAGGTGCAGAGCCAAAACGTTGTGCCGTAGCAACTGCTTTGCGCAGTGACCTCTTGCGATGAGGCGGTTTACGGGTATCCTGACCTTGCTTCGCCCATATTGGGCGCACTTGGGAGTCATGCGGTGTGGCTCCAGGATCGTCGGCCACCGATCCAACCCTCGCGTCTACAGGCATGTGTGTTGCGATATTCAAAGAGGCGTGCGGCCTGTCCCTGGACTTGGGACCAGGGCGGTACACATGACTATCAAGAGCAGTAGCATGGCGGGCATCATGAGGCACGAACTCAGGTGCATCGGGGTTGAGTCTCGCGCCTCTGGTCTGGGATCCCAAAGTCCCAGGCTCAAACACTGGAGCTCGCGGGTCGAGCTGTGATGTCGGTATCAGCATGTCTGGCGTCATCTTGTAAAATCCAGAAAAATCTGCTCGAAAAACCTGCGCAAACACGAAAATCGCATGCAAAGTGAAAAGACAAATCATGCGACTGTGAAGCGGATCCAATCTCAACATGTCCTCAGGAGCAACAGGCAGGTGAAGTTGTACTTCAGCACTCGTTCAGCTTCTACAAGCAATGCCGGGAAGGTTCTGCTGGTGAAAACAGTCAGTTGGAGGCCTTCCTCTCGAGGCAATGTCTGTAAAGCTTCGAAGAAGAACTCGCCTTCTGAGAATGGAGCCCACAGGCTAGTAGCCAAGCTTGCACGTAAATGCTGTCTTGCACGGCACAAATCGAAAAACGTGTTTGCAAATGCTGTTCAGGCAATCGCACAGGTATGGCTCTACGCGCACCTGCAGGTGCGATCTGCCGCTACCCCGCCCCAGTCCCGCCCCTACGCCTCGCGAGGGTCGAACGAACTGGGAACAGCCGGGAAACCACACAAGGGAAGGGGAAAACCCGGGTGCCCTGAACAAAAACCCAGACCCAAGCGAGGGCCCACCGCTACAAGTTCACTTGAACCGAGACGCTTCCTGCAAGTAGCAAAGACGAAGGTCCACATGACGCATCCTTCTCAGGAAGCCGGACATCATACTGACTTGGCGAGCGGAAGAGCTGTCCGTAGGCAGGTATAGGGGTTGCGCAACGCTTTCGAAAAGGTGGCCCAAAAGCTGCCCCAATCCTACAAGCTCGCGCGCCATCTCAACCATAGCGAAAAGCTCAGACTCCGCACTGGAGAGTGCTACGATAGGCTGGAGCCTCGAGTAAGTCTTGATACAATTCCCATTCAGGTAAATCACTCCTCCGCTGGTGCTCTTCCGTCCAGTAGAGCGCTCAGAGGCCCAATTAGCGTCGCTGAATCCAACGAGGGTTGCAGTCCCAGGTTGAGCTTTGGAGTCCTTCTGAAAGACCTGAACAAGATCGGGAACCTCCAAAAGCCAACGGAGCACTTTACGCATACAATCCTCATGCACAGCGCGCGGACAGGCTTGACCTCTAGACAGCATGGAGTGAAAATAACACAAATCCCCCCTGGTTTGCACAAGCCAGCCTAGTTTCCCTAGGGTGCTTCTAAAGCGGCTCGCGGCTTCAGGGGAGAGCTCTTCGGAGGGCTTCTCGGGGTCTTCCTTGTCAAGGATCGATCGGAGGTCTGGTGGTGCAGTGCAGGGCTTCATCTTCCTGCGGTTCTCCTGGCTCCACCCAAAAGCCTCGAAGATCGAATCGACGTATTCTTTCTTCACAGCCAACAAGATCTCATGGCCACGCTTGATTATCTCACGGCCTAGGAATCCGATCCTGCCGTCCTCATCCAAGCGTCCAGTCAACTTGACCTTAAGACGGCCCATGAGGAAGTCTAGAAGCTGTTGGTTTGCCTCTTTCGTTCTTGTGGCTAGCAAGATGTCGTCGACGTACACAAGACAAAGCACAAGGATGTCTCCCCAATACCCTTTGTACAACGTAGGTTCAATAAGAGAAGGAAACAATCCCAACTCAGCAAGAAGTCCAGCAAGATGCTTCTGCCACGAAAGGCCTGCCGATCTCAAGCCATATATGGCTTTCTCCAGGATGACGTAAACCTTAGAGCCATCAAGGTTCTGAAAGCATCCCGGCAACTCAAGCACGGTATCAAGAACCAACTTGGCATACAAGAAGGCAGTCGAAACGTCAAGTCCCCAAAGGACAAGCGTATCCTGGACAACACGACAGATGAAAGCCTTGAAGGCCTCCACAGAAGCAGTCTGGCTCGCAATGCCCAAGTCAAGCGCCGAAGGTTGATTGAAAGCAAAGTCTTTTGCAACAAGGCGCGCACGCACAATGTGCTGATCGTCAACATCAACCTTGTCAGTGAAGACAAAACGCGACTTAATGATCTTGGCACCTGTCTCCTGGCAGTGGGTCTTAATCTCATCATAGGTGCGGGCGTTGCCGACACCCAAGTTGTGCATAGCAGACACCTCTTTCTGCATGCCAACCCACGTTTTCTCAGGATCCAAAGGCAAGCCACTGACATCATCAACCACAGAAGTGGGCTTGATGACCCACACCTCCCGATCACCGAAAGGCATGGCTACCCCCTCATCGGGGTTACTGTGCTGAGCGGGTGCTTTTCTCTTAAGCTGAGCAGCAAACAAGCCGACCTCACCGTAATCAACAGGACTCAGGTGATGCTTCTGGTCCGGAATCACTGAGAACATGAACTGAGGCATGCTCGTACTGTCAAGGACATCCGGGACCTGAGCAACATCCATGGGCACAGTGTAGTCGTCCATATCAACCTGATCCATCTCAACGTCCCCACCAGGGAGATACTCCTGAGGGAGCTCAGAGTCTTGGGCTGCTTGTGAGGGTTCGGGCACCAGGTGCTGCAGATCCTCAGGAACAGGAGACCCAGGAAGACTGGGCTCGTAGTCCAAGCTCTCTTCTTCAAACTCCACAACTTCAGGGTTCGGGTTGATTTTTACTTGAGGCTTGTCAGGGGCTTGTTGCTGTTCAGGATTGTCAAGGTCACCGAGCGTATCCCTGATGTAATCACGAAAGCGAACTTTGCAACGCCTAGAGTGGAAGCGCGATCTACCTAAGCATCCAGGACAACGTGCCGTTTTGTTGTTTTCAAGCCATTCAGGCGCCGGTTGCGGCAACGGGATTGCTTTCCTCGGTAGGGCCACCCCTGGTAGGCTTTCATAATCAGGCTAATCAGGATTAGCCTCGGCGATAGTGGGTAACAAGTTCGACGAGAACGTCACTGGGTAGGCCATCTTGAGAGCCCGGGCGACGCATCTTTTCATAGACCCATTTGAGAGTCTGATCATGCAGTGATGCCCTTGCCCACCAATCACGGGGCCGAGATAGGCACCAATGTCGTATCGACCGTCAACTTGTGATGCAAGGTGTTCTGGGGGCTGAATGTACATGATGCAAGCGAAAGGAAACAACAAGTGAGGCGTGTGACTCTCACCCAAAGCTCGCTGCAAAGGACTCAACAGTTGACCCTGTGACGTTCCGAACCGGTTGTGTGAAGCAGCCGCATGGCTGTGAAGCAATTCCATCGCTTCCTCATTTGCCAACAATTTCAAGCCACTCACGCCCTTGGCGTGAAGCTCGTTGGCCAAAGCGGTTTCTTTAAGCGTGCGGATTGCTCTCTCAGCTACCGGGGCGTGCCTGCTAGGAGAGGTTTTGGTAGAAACCGAACTCCCACCTGTAACCTCAACAACCTCGGCTGCTATGGCTGCTAAAAGCGGTTCCCCGTCATGTACAACATGAACTTCTTTGAGACCGAATGATTTGAGGAATTTGACTAGCTTCCCCACGGTGACTTTTCGGTAATCTCCTGCATAGGTAGCAGCTGTGCCTACACAATACGTCGGTACGTGTACCACAGCGATCAAACGGATGCCTCGATACCAGTATTGATCCATCTGCACCTCAAGTGGGTCGACACTTTTGCGTGTTCGGGCGGGGGAGAGCCCTTTAGATCTTACACAGCTAGGACAGCCACCCCAGTAGGGGGTATGACCCTGACGTTGGTGGCGCAATCTAGCTTCGGCACCGATGTTTTCGGGGAGAGCTTCTTCAGGGTCTACCGGGGGTTTGGTGTTGTTCGGGGTGGTTCTCTCTAACCCTTCACGGTCATCACCATCATCATCAAAAAGCTGCTCTAGCTCTTCAACACCAATGGCACCACCCACATCACCTGAATCAAGCAATGGGCGACCGACCGACATGCACGCTGAACTACCTACTGGCACGCAGGCTGCACGACCTACCTGCAAGCAAGCTAGACTACCTACCGGAACACAAGCTGGGCAACCTACCTGCACGCAAGCTGGACTACCTAGCTGAACACACGCTGGGCAACCTACCGGCAGCACTTCTCTGACAGCGGCACTCTGCAAGAGAACTTCACGAGCTCTCTCTTTTGGCTGCTGCTCAAGAGCGGCTAAAGTTACAGGTCGCTGTCGCTGCTGATTGCCTCGACCTCTTCGAGGTCTACAAGCGGAGGAACCAAAGGTGCCGGTTTCGCTGCCGTTGCCATACTGGTCGGCGGCGCCACACTCATCATCGCCGGGTCCGTGTAATCGATGTGGTAGTGTGTGTTCCGTGGCTTTGGCACATACTTGGATGCCGGCATCAGCTTCTTTGTTGTAGGCCTTGGTGTGGCTGCCGGCGGCATGAACGACGGCCTTGATGTTGGAAATGGCGCCCGGAGAGAAGGCGCTGCTGTGGGCGTTGGCATCGGCGCTGAACTCGGCGCCACTGGTACTGTACTCGGCCTCGGTGCTGTGGTCGGTCGGGCCGGATAGGGCGTGTAGCGGTAATCCATGGGGATCTGCGGGGGCACGTGCATCTGCATGGGCACCGGAATCTGCATAGGAACCTGCAT